CAAGGAGTGGCTGGTGGGTTTGAACTGGTGACCTTTTGGTTAGCAGCCGAGCACTTAACCACTGTGCCACTAGGCCTCCTTCAAAAGCTAGTTCAACCGTTGGAGGAAGCGCCACTCATTTGTGGGAGGGGAGACTTTCAGGCACTGATGTATGGAACTGAGTGCTGCTGGCTGAGAACTAGCAGATGCCACGAGAGGGCTCTAACGCCATGGCATCCACTCTCTGGAATTTATCTTTCAGAAACACTCACTCTTGTGTGCAAAGGGGCGTGTGTAAAGACATTCCAAGCAGCATTGTTTGTAACAGTGAAAAACTAAAACACACGTGCACACACACACACACACATACACACACACACACACAAGCTGGAAACAACGTAATATCCCCCCCATGAGGCTGGTTAAGTAGATCAGTGGTTAAGAACATGGGTTCTGGCTTCCAGTCTTGTTTGATCACATTCTAGCTATGCAACCTTGGACAAGTGACTTAACTTCTCTGTGCCTCAGTTTCTTCATCTGTAAAATGAAGAGAAAGAACTAGGTATTTTAAGTCAGCATGGTGTTCCTTGTTCTCTTCTGTCCTATGTCCTCATCATGCCCACAGTTTCTTCCCCTTATATTTACATGTTCTGTTGGTTTTCTTCAGGGGTCACAGATGCAAAATTACAATCAGATTCTAACATGAAGTTTCGTGGGATCGCGTTGCTGCAGCAAAGTGTCTTGCTCTTTAGAGCTGGTATTTAATCACTCTCCAAGAATCTAAGAGTTGCCCTGGATTCTTCTTTTTTCCTTAACCCTGCATCCAACCCATACATCAATTTACTTCCCAACATATTCCAAGTGGAACCACATCTCATCTACCCCAATGCTTCCACTCCGGTCCGAGTGTCTATCATGGCCCAACCAATTATTACAATGGCCTCCTAATGAGTCTCCCCGCTTCTGCCCTTGCCCTCTGCGATCTAACTGTAGCCTAACAGCCAGAAGGAGCCTGGTGGAACCTGTCAGGCCATGTCCCTCCTTGCATAAGGCCCCCTAACTCAGTGTCCATTTCACTAAGAGCAAAACTCACAACCACGGCCCACAAGGCCCCCCCGACCAGACCCCAGGTGCCTCTCCACCTCACCTCTCACCACTCAAGCCCTGGATCCCTCCACTCCAGCTCACCGGCAGGTTCTGCTCCAACCTACCAAGTGCATTTCTAGCTCAACATCTTTGCCTTTCCTGTTCTCTCCTCCTGGAACAATCCCTCCCCAGTTCTCCAGCTCCCAGCACAGTGCACCACACAGAGCACATGCTTAATAAATATTTACAGAATGAACGAGCGAACGCCCAGGGCATCTCAAATTCCCAGGGCTAACAACGACCGAGACGGCTTGAGGGGCCACACGAGGTGAGACCCAGTCGCTGCCTGCAAGTCCTCGTGGAAAATTCTGCCTAGAAACAAAACTCACACCACCAGGGCCTCACAGTCTGTAAACTCTCCTGGGTTATCAAACACGGCTCATTCTAAATGCTGCCAGGAAGACAGGTATCCTATGTGTCAAATTGTCAGTAAAATCTCAGGGCTCTGATTGCTTCCTGGCTGCAAATTCTTTTTGCGCTGATAAGCTCCTGGAGGAAAAAAAATCTACACTTGTGATCATTAATACAAATCATTACAAGGAGTGACTTGGTTTTATAGAAATCATCTTTTTTTGGCAGCTAAAAGACTGATTCATGTCTTTAATGACGGATCCAGCGATGGTGTAGATTTGCAGCTGGATCGTCAGAGCAATCCTACATTTGGTTGCAAAAATTTACCCAGCAAACCTTTCACTTTGTTGCCACCAAGCATATTCCAAACTTGGTTGTCCTGTGATAGTGGACAGAGGCTAAAGGCCCACCTCTCACCTGGGCAAGTGTTGGCACTCCTTACCACAACGGGCAAGATCATTCAAGATGTGTCTCCATCCTCTCTCCAGTTCATACTCTGCCTCCCTTCCCCAGGCACTCTATGCTCCAGCCACAGCTGCCTTCTTGTTCCTGCCTCAGGACCTTTGCACATGCTGTTCCCACTGCCTGGAACACCCTTCCCCAGATCGTCACAATACACTATAGTACTGATAAGAAGGGAAACCTAATTCATAGAAGGAAAATGCATAAGGCTGTGTGCTGTCCAGTATGGTAGTTGCAAGCCACGTGCGGGCACTGAGCACTTGAAAGGCAGCTAAACTGAGATGCGCTATAGGTATAACATACATGCTGATTTCAAAGTCTTAATATAAAAAAAGTCAAGTATCTCATTAATGATTTTTTCGTATTGATTACAGTGGAAATGATAATATTTTGGATATACTGTATATTACATATGGCAAATATGTAATTAAAATTGATTTCACCAGTTTCTGTTTACTTTTTTTTTATGTAGCTACTAAAAAATCTTAACCAAACCCATTGCTGTCCAGTTGATTCCGCCTCATAGTGACCCTATAGGACAGAGAAGAACTGCCCCATAGGGTTTCCAAGGAACAGCTGGTGGATTCAAACTGCTAACCTTCTGGTTAGCAGCTATAGCTCTTAACCACTATGCCGCCAGGGCTCCATGTAGCTACTAGAAGATTTGAAATGATATTGCCAGTCATGTTTGTGGTTTGCATTATATTTCCATAGGACAGCGCTGGTACAGGGTTTAATGTAGAGAAATGGAACCCATATAAATGAGACAAGATGAGGAGAAAGAAGGTTTCCACAGAGACAGACCCCAATGGTGAGCTGGAAACATTAAGTGAAGTTTGCTTCAGGGGAGGTGAAGGTCCAAGTGAGATGGGTTCCCTCCTCATGCAAATGAAGAAACCCAGAGCTCAGAGGGAAGGAGCTCATGGACTTGTTTGAAGGGCTGGGGAGGAGATGGAGGAGGGTTTACACAGTGAACCAAGGATGAGGCCCCAGGGCTTGTGTGGGAATAAAGGGAGCGTGCTGAGGCTGTGAGCTGGAGAAGCGCCTGGGCACAGTGACCACTGCGAGCCCCTGCATGCCCACCATCATTGTGAATGAACTAAACCTTGGCAAGGGCCCCTGCCCCAACCTGGTCTACCTGGAGCCCACAGCGCTGCAAGGGGAGGAGCCTCAGGATGAGCTCAGCTTCCTGCTGGCACCATCTTTGTCAACTGGGCTGGGTCACTAGCAATAGTGATAACTTCCTGCCACGTCTGCCCTTCCTGCCCCTGGATGCCCCAAGGAAGGCTAAGCCCACCTGAATCAAGCAAGGCTGAGCCCACCCAAAGCAGGTAAGATTGGTGGAGCAGGGAGTCCGCACACACACGCACATGCACGCGCACACACACACACACACACACACACACACACAGAATGGGCTGCTGCTTTCTTTTGTTGTGTCAGCACAAATATCACCACCTCTGAGAGGCCCGCCCTGATTACCACTTTACAGTAGGCCCGGCCACCACTATACCCAGCACATCACCCTCTTCATTTTCATCAGAGCATTTGTCCCTTCCTGAAACTGTCTTAGATAGTTACTGGCTATCATGTCAATTGTCTGTCTCCCTCACTCCATGAGAATAGGGATTGTGTTGTCTTACTCATGACTGTAGTTCCAGGTGCCCTGAACATTAACTGAAAAAAAAAAAAAAAAAAAAATCCCGAAACTGTTGTCATCGAGTTGATTTGGACTCATAGCAACCCTACAGGACAGCGTAGAACTGTCTCCCATAGAATTTCTAAGGGGTGGCTGGTGGATTTGAACTGCCGACCTTTCGGTTAGTAGCTGTAGCTCTTAACCACTGCGCCACCAGGGCTCCTTGTCTGCACGCAGTAGATACTTAATAGAAATTTGTTGAATGAATCAATTGGTCTTAAAATCTCTTCTCCATAAGACTTTGGGAAAATCCAGGAGAAGTTCTGCATTAGAAGGCTGGAGACCTCTATTATCCTTGAGAACCCAGCTGCGAATCCACAAGTCTGGGCAACCCGTAGGTCTTGGTTTAATCCACTTGGTAGCAAATTCTACATGTCTACACCACCGTCTTGCATCAGGAGCCGAAGACCCGGCATCCAGACCCTGGGTAGGTGCCGCCTGCACTATAGGAAGAACACAGGGGAGGTCCTGAGGTGCCCTCCTGCAGGGGACGCTTACCGAGCTCCACGTCCTGGTCGTCTGTCAGCACCAGGATGATGTTGGGGCGGATGTTCCTGCGGTCCCTCTGAAACCTGCCTTTCAGGCGGTGGTGGGACAGGAACGCGGAGCTTCCACCCAGCAGACAGAAAGCTGTTGTGGAGAGCAAGCAAAGCAGGAGGCTGGGGGGCGCCATTTTTTGCTGATCTGTTGCTTCTTTCAGGATGCGGGGATCTGAAGTTGTGCGTTATAGTTTGTTTCTTTTCCCACTTGCTCTTCACTCACGGATCTAAAGTAGGAGGAAAAGAATCAGGTCAATATTTATGTAAAGGTTGCCCTACTGCCAGTACCTGCATAATGATTTGTACAATGTCTTCTGGCAAGAACAATGAGATTTGCTTTGAATAGATGAAGCTGTAGCAGAGCAAAAACCAAACTCAGTGAAGGTTAGAAGAAAAGTATTTGCAATTTGCCCAGGCAATAAGCAGGTAGAAACACCTTCGGAGAACACTTCAGCAAAAAGCATTTCTCCCCAGGGCCCAGTGATGCTCTGGGCATGTTGGAAGCAGCCCGAACCCCAGTCAGATTATCAGCCTGTTTCCAAAAAGCCCGACCAGTTCAACAGACAAATCCTCCTCCAGAGAAAGGAAAAGCAGCCACCCAATCTGAGGGGACAAATATTTCTGGTCCCCTCTTTCTTTTTTTAATTTTATTTTTTTGTTCTTGTTGAGAATATACACAGCAAAACATACACTAATTCAACCATTTCTACATGTACAATTCTGTGACATTGATTACATTCTTGGAGTTGTACAACCATCCTCACCCTCGTTTTCTGACTTGTTCCTCCCCCATTGACATAAACTCACTGCCCCCTGAGGTTCCTATTTAATCTTTCAAGTTGCTGCTGTCAATTTGATCCCATATAGATAGATCTTGAAAGAGCATAATGCTCAAGGCAGACATTCTTTACTAGTTAAGCTAAACTATTGTTTGGTTTTAAGAAGAATTCAGGGGATATTTTTGGTTTAAGGTTGAAAGATTATCTCAGGGCAATAGTTTCAGGGGTTCACCCAGTCCCCATGGCTCCAGAAAGTTTGAAGTCCATGAGAATTAGAAATTTTGTTCTGTATTTCCCCCTTTTGATCAGGATTCTTCTACAGAATCTTTGATCCAAATGTTCAGTAATGGTAGCCGGGCACCATACAGTTCTGCTCTCAGGGCAAAGGAGGCAGTTGTTCCTAGAGGCCATTAGCCACACATTCCATATCCTCTTCCTATTCCTGATACTCCTTCTTCCTCTGTTGTTCCAGGCGAATATAGGTCTGGTCCCCTCTTATCTGCTGGCACCGTGGGGGTGCAGAGATGAGCAGGATGGAGTTCCAGCTCTCGAGCAGCCTGTGATTCAATTGGGGGTTTGGGGGAGTATGGGGGAGGGGGGCTGGAAAATAGCACCTGCTTTGGGCTAGAAGACTCACGTGTTTCAATCCCACTCTGCCACTCAGCAGCTCAGTTTCCGCATGAATGAACCAGTGAGGGGCCTCAGTTTTCCCAGGAATAAAGTGGGGAGCACATTGCCCCTATGAGGACTCAAGCTACTGGGGATGGTGTGACAGCCCCTTGTCAGGTCACCCTCTAGTTGGACAAAAGCTATTCGTGTTGGTTTTAAGTTGCAGAATAGACAAAAGGACAATGAGAGAATCAAGGTCTCAGATTTAGAGAAAAGAACCGTGGCATCCCATGGTGACCTCAGTCATTGCTCTGACCCCAGGTGAGAAGGTAGGTGAGGGGAGGTGATGGGCCGATCTTGGCTGGAGCGTCCTCTGGTCTCCTGCTCTCTGCGATCATTTTTCTGTTTCTTGAGGAAATGAGCCTTTAAGTTCTGTCCAGGAATAGACTTTTGGTCTCATTTATTTAAGATGAGAGAGAGAGAGAGAAGGAGAGTGAGGCAGACGTGTTGGGAGGAAACCAAGTGCCTCAGAGTGGGGCTAAGTCACCGTCCCTGTGCCCTTGAAGGAGTCTGTTGGCCCCTGCTGTCCGTGGGGGCATGCCGGTTGCCACCCCAAAGTCCTGGGGATCAAGAACTCCTCCAGGGCTTCCAAACCTGCTTGCACCCTCTCTGCTACAGAATCTTTGAACTCAAAGAGCCCCCTAAGGGGTCTCCTCACTTCCTCCCCAGCGCAGCCAGAGAGGTCTTCCTAAAACGCAAATCAGATCATATCCTGCACCGGGGCCGGCACTGGAGTGAGACCAGGGAGGCGCTTCGAGCACAAAATTGAAGGGGCTCTCCCTCTCAGGGTCATCACTCACCTGCTCAAAGCCCTGCCCTGGCTTCTCATTGCTCCAAGAACAAAATGCAAACTCCCCACCAGGGGCTAGACGGCCTGGCGGGATCTGGCCCCTGCTCACCTCCTGATCTCATCTCCCCTCCTCCTCTTCCTCTCAATTGCTCTCCAGCCCCACTGCCTTCTTTCTGGTGCTTGGGCAAGTCAAGTGTGTTCCTGTCCCAGGAACTTTGCACTTGCCCTTCCTTAGACCTGGAGGAATCTTCTCCCAGGTTCTGTATGATCCGCTCAGTCTCTTCTGCCAAATCTTGGTCTAAATGTCACCTCCTCAGAGAAGCCTGCCCTGACCACCCTACCTAAGGTGGTGGTGTCCCCACCCCAGGCATACTCTCTATTTTATAACCGGTTCTATCATAATCCCTACTGCAGCCTGCAATTATGTTATTTATGACCAGTCTCCCCTACTGGAGGGTCAGCTCCCCGAGGGCCTGTGTTGTTCCCAGCTGTCTCCAGCACTTAATACTGTGCCTGGCACATAGTAGGAGCCTAATAAATGCTCGCTGAATAAATGGATGCAGGTTTGTTAAGGTCCTTTCGCATACTGCAGAGTGAAGGATACTGGGCTCGGCAGGGCCGTGTCATAAACTAGGTCTATGTGGCTTAGGAGAGGCCTCTGTCCCCGTTCTTCCCCAATCAAGCTCTGTGGGTCACCAAGGAGGAACTGGTAGCTCTGAGTTCTCTAGGCAGTGCTATGGTTGAAAAGACCCCAGCGGTCCATTCTCCACCCTGCTTGGGGCCCAGGAGGCCAACCTCTGCAGAACACATTGCCTGTGTACCCCCTCTGTCTGGCTCCGGCCGGGAGGCTGCAGGGCAGGAGGAGGCGGGAAATCAGCATAGTCATCCTCCCCTGCTCCCTCCCTAGCCTGCAGTAGCTCCCCAGTGCCTTCATCTCGCTATGTACGGCCACAGCTCCTGTCAAGGACCACTCCCCCAACTCTACCTGCTCCCGATTCCGAATGCATCATTTCCCCCTCTTGCCACTTGAAGCCGAGGGGGAGTAATGGCTCCTCTTTGTTGCTAGTCCCAGGTGCTGCACCATTCTTTGTTTGCTCCCTTAACCCCAGCCACTGTAAACATGGCGCTTCAACGGACTCTCTTAGCCAACCCTGTGACCATGCTGGCTGGCTTCACTGTATTTGGCATCCGGCTGGCCTGCATGTGGAATCTCCCTTCTAGCCTCTTCAGCCACCTCTAGGGGAGGCTGAGAGCAGGGAGCCTCCGGGCACCTGTGCAGAAAGACGAGCTGAGAGTCGCCTTATCAGCGGAGTTGGGGACAGACCCAATGTCGAGGACTCGGAGCCTCACGAGACTGGAAGGCAAGCACCACCTTCCCTCTCAATCTCCTTGGCTGTGAAAACACATGTCTCATGACAGCTAGAGCCGCACAGTGACTTTATTGGGCACTGGGTCCGTGCCACGTTGCGTGATGGTTAAGAGCATGCAGCTTGACCCTGGGCAAGTTACTTACTTCTCTGTGCCTCAGTTTCCTCATCTATAAAATGGATGTGAAAGATTAAATGAGTTAATACACAGAGTGCTGACAAACAGTATTAACTAGAAAACAGAATGCACAGTGTAAACCATTTTAAGGTCATTGCTATCACTGCAGCTGGGTCCTGTGCTAAGCACTCTGTAGAATCTTTCTTCAGTCCTCACAAACCTATGATTTATTATCTCTCATCTGTTATTATGCCCATCTTACAATTGAGAACACTGAGGCCGAGTCACTGTCCTTAGTTCACCCAGCAAGAAAAAGGCAGAGACAGGATTTGAACCCTGGGCTCCCTGACTGCTCGGCCCCAGCATCTCACCACTAAACTCATGTTTCCCAATGTCTTCTAGTCAAGTACCACAGCCCCGATTTCTGCTGCATCTGCACAACCCTCCTACTATTATTTGCCTAATGTGTTTCTTTAAATGGCCTCATTTTGAAATAAAAACACAAATCCATGTTTTTGAAAAAGAAAATTTTCTATCCAAGGGTAAGTGGGGAATCAGCATGCCTTGCCGTAAGTAGAGCTATCCACAGAAATAAAGAAACCCAAAACAGCGCTGCTAAATTCTAACAGTCTATTTCACATTTAAGGCTCGAAGCCTGAGCCCTCCGTGCTTTCATTCAGTCTCTCGCTCTCTCTCTGTCTCATTAAGGGAGATTAGCAGGTGCTGAAAGGAATTAAATCACATTAGCACCATCCCCAGACTTTCTGCTGGAGGTAACAGGAGGCTGCAAGAGGGATGAAAAGGAGTAACATTCTAGCTATCTAATTAGTCCTCAAAACCAAACCAAATCAGTTGCCAATGAGTCAATTCTGACTCATAGCGACCCCTACAGCTACCCCAAATCGTGGAGCGGTCTTCAAACCGTGCTGTTTCTCAGCGGTCCGTGTCCCACTCAGAAACACGCTGAGAGGCTTTGTACTTTAAATTGTGGACACACCAACCAGCCCACTAAAGTGCACATTCATGTTTCTTCAGCTACGTGGACATTGCACAAAAAAATAATATGAAGTTTCCAAGGGACGTCCTATAAAAAGCAACTCTCTTGAATGAGAAATAATAATAGCAAATGCATACTGACAGCTTGCAATGCTCCAGCCCTGCTCTAACCATTGACATTCCCATATACATCCATAGATAGTATACCCATTTTACAGATGAGGAAGCTGAGGCACAGAGAGTTAAAATCACTTGTTCACAATCACACAGCTACATAAGTGGCAGAGCCAGGGTTCAAACCCTGTCTGGCTCAAGTCCGCCTCAATCGAACCTCATGAAAGCACATCTCTGAGCAAGTTTCTGAGTCCCCCAGCCTCGGTTTCTTCATCTGCCGAGTGGAGTGGCTGGCCAGGTGTCCTCTGAGGGCCTTTTTGGTTCTGGGTCTGTGACACAAAAGTGCAGGGACCTGGGAGCCGCAGCCTGTCCTGGGAGCCCTGGGCCAGGTGGG